ACACGATGAGGCATCGTCTCGGAGAGGTGCTGGAGGTGTCTAGTATCAAGCTGATCCCATGCCTCTTGCGCAGTACTAACTAGTATATCCTTTGTAGTATCGTTATTCCTCATATGGATAAGGTCAGGCCGAATTTCATATATTTTTGCCTTTAGCAACGCCCAAAGATTCTCGATAGGGTTAAGATCAGGCGAATGGGGTGGCCAGTCCATAACCTCAACCCCTAATTCGACTAAGGCATCTCGTACAACGTGGGCAGTATGTGTTGGCGCGTTATCGTGTTGAAAAATCCCATCTTCATTATCAATTAAGATAGGTAGAATCCGGCGGTATAAAGCTTCGATAACAAAGCGATTTACACCTCCTCGTTCAGAATTCGAATCGCCAAATAAAGGAATCAATCCCGTACGTCGTTCATCTCCCGAGAACGCAGCCCAAAACATCTGTTTAACTTGCTTTCCACGATATGGTAGACCTTGGCATTGGCCTAGTCTTGGTTGGTCTTTCGGACGAATAAAAGACCATTCTCGTCGAATGCCAATACCTCGTTCGACAGTACATTCATCAGACCAAAAAAAACGTGCCCAATCGCTAGGCGTAAAGTGTCGATATTGATATGCCCAGCTAAGTCGTTTTATAGCATGTTCCTCAGTCAAGTAGGGCCGCCAACTATATCGCCATTTTCGTAAATTCTCGGCATTCAAAAGGCGTTGGATTGAACGGATCTTAACTTTATGATCAACCTCAGCAAGGAGGTCCTCGTGTGTAGTCTTTGGATTATCATGAATAACTTCCACAAGACGATTTTTGTCGGCCTCAGTAAGGGTTTTTGGCCGTCCGGATCGAGCTTTCGAGACGCCTTGACGTCTTTCAGGCTCCTTCACAATAGTATATCGAATTGTTGAGATCGGAATCCAAGGATAGCGCTTATGAATGCGTCGATAGCCCTATCCAATAGAATGTAGTTCACAAATACGTTCACGCAAGGCAGGGGTAAGCTCTGTGGACCTCGCCATATTGTAGTAGTAGTAGTATAGTAGTAATAGTAGCAGTAATAGTAGTAATAAAATAGAGAAAAGGGGTAGAAAACTATTAAACCTGAAGACGCGTATAAAGTACGACCACTTTAGCGTGTTTAGCAGCTCGTGTATTAGGTAGGCGGTAGAAGCGGTGAGAAAGTGGGTCATTTAGGTGTGTTAAAAACTTATGACCAGTGACTGTATGTATGTTATGCAAGTCAGGCTTTTCTTAGTGTTTGCACTGTTTACAGTGCTGCAGCACCTGCCGAGGCCTAACGGCGAGGCCTAACGGCGAGGCCAAGATTATTGAGTCACAGGGTCTTCCTCATCAATCGCTAGATTGATTTTTTCTTGTTCATCAATCTGTTGCAAGAACGCCTGCTCTAAGAAAGGTTTGGTCGCGTAGCCAGCGGCAGTCTTATCAAGGTGCATCTTTGAAACAGCCGTAAGGAGGCCGGGAAGTGCAGGTGTTGCTGCGAGCGAAACGGAAAGCTTGACTTCGACTCCTAGTTGTTTGGCTTCAACGGTAACAGGATGAAGGATCTTGCCGCCCATACTCCAAACAAGGGCAACGGTACTGCGTAGGAGATTGTTCTCCGTGGTAATGAGGTTTATAGCAGCAGCAGCTTATTCGCCCCATTCGGAGATTGTGAAGTCAAAGCTGTATGTGCAATTTGACCACTTCTATATAACTACCTATTTAATTCCCGTTTGATTCCATAACGAAACTTAAACCCGAGTCAGATGAACTTTCAATGGGCCCTTCTCCCACATGAGGAAGTTTCTCTGATTGATCCAATCACGAGACTCATCATCAATTTCTATGTCGAAGTTGAAGATTATCAGAGCGAGGATCAAACGCATTTCACTGTAGGCAAGACTGGAACATAGTTAGTATCGCTAATCATATTTCTGGGTGATTCACCTTATGGCTTACTTTCTACCAAGGCAGTTCCGTGGGCCAGTGTGGAATGGCTGCCACACTTCTCGGCGGTCATCTGCGAATGAGGGATCGCCCAAGAACCGCTCTGGGTGGTATGTGTTGGGGTCTTTGAAATACTCTTCACGCCGGTAGAGTGCCCATTGATGAATTGATACGAAAGTCTTCAAAGGTAGGTTAACAAATGCTCAAACCTTCGTCTTATACGAGGCCACACTCACATTTGTTGGGATATATTCACCCAAAACAGTAGCACCGCCCTCAGGAGATAGGCGGGGCAGTCCGTTGGCAATGGGTGGGTACATGCGCATTGCCTCGTCAAGGCATGCGAGCATGTAGGGTAGCTTGTTGACAGAGATCAGGTTGATCTCTTCTTGGCTTTGGAACACAGTGCGCACTTCTTCTTTCAGCTTCTCATGGGCACCTGGATTCATCAGGAGGAGGTAGGTTACGCCACTCAATAATGAGGCGGTTGTCTCCGAGCCGCCGATGATCAGGATTTCAGCATTTGCAACCAGTTCTTCAACAGTCAGATTCTGCTAATGGGTCAGTGACTATCTTGAAAAAAGCGAAGCAGAACTCACCAATTCGTCCTTCTTTCTCAAAAGTCCCTCGATCAAGTCTGATCGACCTTCTTCCTTTTCCATCCGACGCTCCATCTTTTGCTGAGTCAATTTCTGGTGTTTCGCGTGGGCCGCTTTCATTGACGCAGGTGCCATTGACATTAATGCTCGTTTCACGAGTGGGAAAAATGATAGAGTCTGCAAGAGGATTCCGAGTCGACCGGCCTCGAAAATTCCTTGGATCCATCCGTCGAGGTTAGAGCCCTGTAGACAGCCGAATGGCTCACCAAATGCCAGGTCTCCAATGATGTCGAAGGTAGTGTAGTTGTACCAATCGGAAAGGATCACCTGACTACCCGACGTGCAGAACTCATGCAGCCGATCAAGCAGCATATCAACATAGCTGCGGATCAAGGGCTCTTGGTCTCTCATTGCCTTCTCGGAGAAACCGTGCGCCATCTGGCGACGGAGACGCCCGTGTTGCTCTCTGCTCTCATTGACCACATGTGTCGCTTGGTCTTCAACTGGCCGATAGAACCAATTGGCTTTGCTGAATTCAGATCGCTCTTTCTTATGGCCCATGATATCTTGCCACGCATCTGGGTGTGAGAAAGCCAGTTCGTCTGGCGCAATGCGAACAATATCGCCGTACCGCTTGTGCATTTCCAACATATCAAAGGGAAGGGTACCACGAGCGGACCGCCATAAATATGCTAATCGGGATATCCTATGTTCTAATGGCCCTGGAAATCGGCTCAAAGGGTGAAAGAAGATATTGTAGACCACTTTAGAGATGAGGTATTGTATTCCCTATACGAGTTAGATATGGACATCATGGGAGAGCTTGGTGATGTACCACAAAGAGGACCGTCACTAGGATATGCTGCACGCTAATAATGATACCCATCTCTGCTTTGATGAATCATTCCGGAATATGGTCGGGTTTTATAAGTTCGGAGGTTCAATGGAAACCGAGGCCAGGCTTGATCAACATGAAGTTTAATGATATTTTTGTAACGGGTAGAATTTCTTCAACATTGATTCAATTGGCCAGAGAATTCTCTAAAACACCAATCAAATTGTTAAAAGGGGGTGGGAGCGTTGGAGTCTCCTATGGAGTCAGATACGAACCCGAACCCGAACCCAAACCCCCCTTTTCTCCGATTTGCCCCATTTCTTTTCATTTCTCTTCACCAATAGACATCACCGGTAGTACGAATACGAATCCATTTGCTTTAGAAGATATGATGGAATCTCATATTCTATGCATAACCTGCATTCCCACTATAGGCCGAGATGGAGGGTCCGACATTTATGCATTTCATGCATCTGACCTCGGGACAGACTTGAAATCATTCATAAGGCCCGTCAGCGCGCACTAATCATGTCTCTTGTTTTCTCGTGCCGTCGGAATGGATACAGAAATGCGGGACACTGAAGCGCAGTCGGATCAGCTGCCAGACGAGAAAACCAGCGAAAACCGCACAGCGCACGAGTCCCAATATGATGTTTTCTGGGAAGAACCTGCCAGCGAAGACCCTGCGAGCCCGATGAACTGGAGCTCTGGGCGCAAATGGACTATCGTCGGAATGGTTTCGTTCATTACTTTCTTGACGTGAGTATTTCACCTTTCATTGAGACGAATCACTGACCTTGCCAGACCTCTCGCCTCTTCAATGTTTGCGCCGGGTATTACACAGGTCTTGAACGAGTTCGGTACGACGTCGAATCTCCTCTCCGCTTTTGTCGTCTCGGTATACGTCCTGGGATTCGCCTTTGGCCCTTTAATTATCGCGCCGTTAAGTGAATTCAGCGGCCGCACATGGGTATACAATGTTTGCAATGTCTTGTTCGTGATATTCAATATCGCGAGTGCGCTTGCTCCTGGTATTGCATCGTTGATTTTCTTCCGATTCCTTGATGGGGTTGCGGGGGTCGCTGCTATCACATGTGGCAGTGGTACAATCGCAGATCTCGTGCCCCCTGAGAAGCGTGGGCAGGCAATGTCTATCTGGTCTTTGGGGCCCCTTTTCGGCCCCATCATTGGCCCGGTCGTGGGTGGATTCCTTGTTGAGGCGACAAATTGGCGATGGGTATTCTGGGTCCTTGCTATCGTGGTAAGGAAAACAATGCTGCGGTCAAAATATACTTTCACTAACAGTCCTTTTAGAGTGGAGCTGCTTCAGTGGTCTTCTTTTTTCTTGTACCAGAAACGTATCCTCCAATTCTCCTCGAAAGAAAAGCTGCTCGGCTACGGAAATCAACGGGAGATATGGCCTACAAGTCTCGTCTGGATGCTGGAATCCCTGCCAAGCAACTGTTCGTGCGGAGTCTTATTCGACCATCGAAGATGCTCATCTTATCTCCCATTGTGGCCTTGATGTCCAGCTACATTGCCGTTCTTTACGGCTTTCTCTACATCCTATTTACCACGTTCACCCTCGTGTTCGAGGGCCAATATGGCTTTTCCGCCAGCGCTAGCGGTCTCTCGTTCTTAGGCAGCGGAGTGGGAATGTTGATTGGTCTTGCGTACGTGGGGACACTAAGTGACCGCAAGATCAGAATCAAGGTGGAACGCAAATTAACACCTGTCCCAGAGGACCGACTGCCCATGTACCTCACAATCCCCGGCTCGTTGGCCATACCTGCTGGACTGTTTATTTATGGATGGTCAACCGACAAGGTGGTCCACTGGATTGTTCCGGAGATCGGAACTGCCGTCGTTGGTTTCGGAATGATCACTATCTTGATGTGTGTTCAGACATATCTGGTAGACGCTTTCTTGACTCATGCCGCGAGTGCCGTGGCTGCGTGCACCGTGCTGCGAAGTTTACTTGGCGCTCTTCTTCCTCTGTGTGGATTGCAAATGTACGAAAAACTCGGCCTTGGATGGGGAAACAGCTTGTTGGCATTTCTTGCTTTAGCAATGGCGCCTATACCTATTTTGTTTGAGAGATGGGGAGAGAAGCTGCGGACTCAGTCGACTATTCAACTATAGCACGAGCGATTGAAAATGGAGGTACTCTTAAGTAAATTAACACAGCTATGTAATACAAAAGTCAAGTTCTCAAAGTCTAAATCCAAAATTTCTAGGAACTCTTATGTGGGTTGGGAGCTTGACAGAAGCCCCCAGATTGAATACATCTCGTCTAGAAAGTTTGGTGACACTCTTTGACATCAATTTATTGCCGTCTTTCTAACACCCTTTTTTGGGTCTTTCCAAGCATTCTTTGGGGTCTCCTCCCGACTTACTTTCCATCGTAAATATATTGCGCCTCAATAGCCCCTAACATGATAGGAGCGGATTACTCTAATATCAACTGGCATCAGACTTTCTAGACACCATATATGTGAATATATTACCGAAAAGAAATTCTACATCTAAAGAGAACAAACCGGTTCGTAGCGAATTGTAGTCTGAGAGGGTCCCCCGGGGGTATTCGTAATAAGGGCCTTGTAGCTCCACGCCGGGTGCCGGCGCGCTGTTCGATAGATATAGCGCTTAGTGTAGGCACTAAATTTGACGGGACCGCCTTTTCGGGGTCGAGAATCGAAGGTTTCGAGCGATTCAAAGCGTTTTCGCGTATTATAAACTGTCTAGCGGGAGACACAACGATCGGCTGCAATTTTAGACGGCGATATCTTAATAGCTAGAGCGCTTATAATAGTAGATCGAGTATAAGGTGAAAGCTCATCTTTTTTACGTCGATTTCCACTAATAACGGTTCCAAAAGCTCTCATATTAGTGGAGTCATGAAGCGTTGAAAAAGACGCGTTTTTTTGGTTGGGGTGGGTCCGACCGAGTGTCAACAGACTCATGGCCACCTATGTATTATAGACCAGGAGCTCAGTCTCGGAAAAATACAAGTGATGTACGAAGTGAAACTAGGGGTTGTGTAGATCAAGTAGGGGTGGGTGCATTTGGATCCTAGAACCGCAAAGGGGTTGGCTTCTGAAAGGACCACTAGACTAGACTTTTTCTAGCAACCTTTTTTTTTAAACTTTTCTTGAAGGTGTAACCTTTTTTCTTCGCAAGTCGCCAAGAGGTGAGCCTCTCCTTTCGCATCAGATAATCTTCCTGTTCCTCAGTTTTGGGGTTTTCGCATGGATATTTCAGTTTCAACTTTTTCAATTCATATTGTAATCTGCCTTGGTACTTTGCCAAGTAAAATCGCGAGAATCGAAAATGAAGTCGGGATTTAAGCTTTGAAGATTAACGAACCCGAGTAAGAACCCGAACCCGACCCACTTGAGCTACTAAAAGATCGAAGACGCTGTAGAAATAAGTTTTTTTCAAGGATTACTAGGCTTCCAAGAAATATTTTGTAGGGATCCTCATCTCAGTATCTGATCTGCATATTATTGTTTTCGTTGTCGGCCACTATGTTTGGAGACTGGGTTTTCCGCCCCCGAACGAGGGTTCCGCTATAAAATCCTTGGGAGGTCTAAGATGCGTTGTTGATGCTGGATTCCATTCAAACATCATCTTTGACTGTTACATCTAAACAATCTTTCGAAGATTTTCACATCCTCCTAAAGGATGGCTTCAACTACCTATTATGGCTATACCCCGAGTTTGATTCCTGCGGTGATTGGAGTTGGTCTGTATTTTGCGCTGTTTGCTGGTCATGCAGTCCGCATGTATCGTGCTCAAGCATGGGATTGTATCTATATGGTAATAGGAGCCTTGAGTAAGAAAGAACTGAGTGGGTTCCAAATTTGTTTCGCATTGCTGACAACAATTCTCTATAATAGTCCAAGCAACGGGATTGGGAGCACGAGTCTATTCATCAAAGGTTGTCGATAGCTTTGGGGCCTATGGTGCTCAATATGTTTTTCTTCTACTCGGACCAACCCTATGCATGTTGACCGTCAACATCACTCAGGTGAAAATGATGCGGTGTTTGAAATCCGACAACATGGGTTTAGTCCCAGCTTGTTTCCGACTACCGACCTACCTCTTTTTCAACATTGTGCTGCTTCTTCTTCAAATGATCGGCTCGATCATTCTCGCAGTGACTCACAAAGTTGCTCTCATTGAGTCTGCGACGAAGGTTCTTCTTGCGAGCTACATATGTCAAATGATGTTCTGGATATTCACTTTGGGGGAGAATATTGTTTGGAGTATTCGGTTTGGGCGGCCTTCTGCCGGAAATCAATCGATGATGCCTCATTGGAAACGCTATAATCAGCTGTTTGGCCTGGCAATTTCCATCGTTGCTGTCGGCCGAAATTTGGTGCGATTGACGCAACTTGGCATGAGACCCAATGGCTTTTTGAATGTTAATGAATGGCCCAGTTATGCTTTTGATTTTTATCAGACGGGTGTGATCCTCCTGGCCTGGGGGATATTCTATCTGCCAGGAATTTGCAAGGAGATTGAGTTCAAACGTGTTCATCAGGCGTTGCATAATTATGAATGTTGAAAAGAGGAATGCGAGTTGACAATGAGTTCGATAGCTACATGGTGTCTAAAAGTACAAGACTTTAGATCTCTATGCTTTTCCATAAATAGTCACTAATTCATTTACTTTCAGAATTCTCTCAAGGCCCAAAGTATGAATGTTTAAGCCCTAGGATGTTGTTTGTGTCAGGGCGACTAGGCCAAGGCAGCATGTACGAGCAGTGTCTTGGGATGTTTGCACAGGTGGTTCCCATCTCCACAATGTGGCAATGATATCGAATCGTCGGACTTCTCCTGGATATCTTTAGGGGATTGATACAGCGACCCCCCTTTGGATAATGCGACCCCCCCCTGCCTGAGGATCTAGGCATCCATTGACCGCTTTTCTCACCGCTTTCATCCTCGAACTTTTATTTTATTGCTACCACTACCCTGCATGTATATCACACCTTAGGTACCTCCAATTACTATGTAAATTGCTAGTAAAAATAAGTCACTCTAGTTCCACTGTAGTACCCAATAAGGAATTCAAAATAATTGTTGTTTACACCTTTAAACCTCCCATTTTACTACCCATTTCTCTCGCGTTTTTCACCCATTTCTCTCGCATTTCACTCTCCATTACGATGGCTTCCTCGCAGCCTGATTCGCCGTCCGATTCTGAGCCTGAAGCTATTCCCGAGTCCCCACCGGCGCTGCCAAGCCTTCATAACGCTCCGCCAAGCCTTCAAAACACCGCGCCAAGCCTCTATATCCTCCCCCTACCTCCTCTCGATACGCATTACGATACGCCAGAGCAAGGAATCAGCGCGATCAATGCCTTCGGCCGCGCGCATGGCTATGCAGTCGCTATCCTCCGCTCAAAAATTACAAAAAGGGGCGTCAAAAAGACCGTCCGTCTATGCTGTGACCGGAGTAGAAGAGTACGGCCTGATGACGGCCCCGACGGCCCTACGCGGAAGCGGCAGACCACCTCGCTGGCGATTGAATGCCCGTTTTTGATCTCGCTACGGCTTCAAGAAGGCCGATGGAACCTTACGGTAGAGAACCAACACCATAACCATGAGCCCTCGCCTCCTCTTACTCATGCACCTCACCGGATGAAGGAATTGAATACGAAGGCGTCGAATATTGAGAAGCAGCTTGAGCAGGGTCTTTCTACCCGTCATATTCTCACTAGTATTCGAAAGGACGATCAGGATTCCTGCCTTATAGCCCGGGATATCTACAACTTCCGGAGGAAGCTTCACATGGAATTCCTTGCTGGTCGTACGCCGCTTTAAGCTCTCTTGATAGAGCTTCCGCGCGATGGCGAATGGATCTTCAAGTATGAGGTTAATGATGAGAATCATGTCACAGCCCTCTTTTGTATGCATAAAACGAGTATTGCATTACTTAAGATGAATTTATGGGTCATTTCAATGGACTGTATATACAAAACTAACCGGTACGGCCTTCCAATGCTTAATATGGTCGGCTTCACTGCTACGGGCTCAACCTTTTACGTCGGCTTCGCCTTCGTACGAGACGAGAAGGATGATAGCTATGAAGTTATTTTGAATTGTCTAGTTGAGGTATACGAAGCTCTTGGCCTTGAGCTACCCCGGACGATCCTCACTGATAAAGAGCAAGCGCTAATGAATGCTGTGAAGGCTGTCTTCCCTTCTACAAAGCATATGATCTGTCTGTGGTATATCAACATGAATATTATGAAGAAAGCTCGTCCGATTCTCGCAGAGCAGCTAGCAAAAGCTCGGCAAGAGACTACTTCCTTACAGCGTCGGACGAAGGCGGAGAGAGACCGAGAGCTTAGAGAAATGGTCAATGAAGCATGGAAGACGATGCTAAAGCTGTGGATTCGAATCGTCTACGCTATTACGATAGAGGAAAGGGAGGAGAGATGGAGGCAATTCAAAGAAAGCTACAAGGAGCCGATTTTCATGCCTTTACTCGAGTATCTACAGAGTGAATGGCTAGATGACTGCCCCGAGTATTTCCTTCATGAATACACCTCCGAATACCTTCATCTTAACGAGATTTCGACCTCTCGGACCGAGGGAGCTCACTGGCTGCTTAAGCAGGACCTTTAAGTCTCGACTAATGATCTACTGGTTGTTCTCCGCACCTTTGAGAATGCTGTAAAGCTTCAATTTCAAAATGTTACCGCTAAGATCGAGAATGAGAAGGTTAGAAGGTCTACTGATAGTCGCTGGAAGCAGCTATTTAGGCTGCTTCTTGGACGAATTTCGGCCAAGGCGATGGAGCATACAAAAGACGTCTACCACCGCTTCCTACCAGCAAGTGATGAGAAGCCGCCGATTCCTCCACTTTGCCGCTGCAATTCGCTGAATACGGCTGGGTTTCCATGCATTTATCTTATTGTACAGTACGAAGCGGAGAAGAAGAGCTTTGAGCCTGAATTATTCTATCAACACTGGCATTTGTACAGTGTCTCTACGCCTCCTATTAATCCGCTGCTTCTACTCCAGGATCCCCTCCAAGTACGCCGGCGAGGACGCCCCCGTGGCGCCAGGAACTTCATCGGCGGCGGAGAAAGCACCCAAGCAAGCACCCAAGCAAGCACCCAAGACACCTCCACCCAGCGAGACCCCTCCGGCTTCGAGCTCATGCTATCTCAGGAAGGAGGACGCGGCCGAGGACGTGGCAGAGGACGTGGCAGAGGACGTGGCAGAGGACGTGGAGGGACACAGCAGGCATCGCAGGGAGATAACGAGGTGGGAATAGCTTCATCTACGGCCCAGGAAGCTCAACAAGCTTCTCAGGAAGGTGGACGGGGCCGTGGACGCGGCCAAGGACGTGGCAGAGGACGTGGCAGAGGACGTGGAGGGACACAGCAGGCATCGTAGGGAGATAACGAGGTGGAAATAGCTTCATCTGCGGCCCAGGAAGCTCAACAAGCTTCTCAGGAAGGTGGCCGTGGCCGTGGAGGGACCCAGCAGGCATCGCCGGCGAGCATGGCTACAGCTCAGGGGTCGGGAATAGCTTCATGGGCATCTCAGGACGAGGATTCCTGGTCTGATCGCCTCAGGAAGCGCTAGGGGGCTCCATAAATGGCTGATACAATGCAAATTACTCAATTTCTTCACTATTCTCATGCAACTTTTTAAAGAATTCAACGTAAAATGGGTGCTGGCCGCTGCATAGGCCAATTCCTTCATTTCTGCATGAGTTTTTGAAATCAGCATCTATTTCCTAATTGGGACTAGCGCCGTGCTTTTGGCATGGTGGTGGTAGAGTACGAAAGGGACTTTATTTAACTAGGGGGCTACATAGTAAATGTAAGTACCTCCAGTTTGTGTTGAGAAGCATGGTCGGTGGTGGCAGAAATATGTCCGGCAGAAAAAATATTAACCTGAGAATTCAGGCGGGGGGGGGGGTCGCATTATCCAAAGGGGGGTCGCTGTATCAATCCCCTATCTTTATGACTTGAAAAATAATTTTCTCGAAGGAAGTGGATCCTGCTTAGTTGTATCGATTTTATCTTCGCATGTAACATGACTCGGTTGCTGGTCCTCCGGAATAATGACAGAGTAGTCTCAACAACGTAAATGAATGTGGGCGAACATTTGTAACAACACCAGAGGCTTTGGATTATCGCGCTGGGCGCAGTGAACCTTTCCCCGTTTAGGCTGGGCCAACGTCAAGATGTGCGAGGGGGGAGATGAAACGACTAGATTTTTCAGACAACGCCTTCAGAGGAAAGAAAATAGCACTTACTCTGGCCGTACTTGAATCATAATGAAACGCTTCATCGGTGTTATCAGTTAAACTCGGGGTATCATTATATACAGGAGCATCGGAATAAGTGAGCAGCATGAGTTTAAAAAATTGATCGGTGGCTAACAAGAAATGTGTAGCCGTCTCGATGCTGCTTCAATGTGATTGGTTCAGGAGGCTGACTCCGCATACTTATGAATGCCTAAAGTCTGAGCTATAATTATAGCGCCTTAAGAATCGGGAGGAAAGGTTAGGGTGCCTTTTCACGAAGTTTGTAACCTAGTTTTAGCCGACCGAAAGAGGGGGGGTAGATCTACGCGCCGCGAGTAGTAAATCCGCTATTTCTCGTATAGTAGAAGGCCGAGGGGCTGCTCCACGAGAGTCCATAGAGAGAATCCATTTTTGAAGAGATTCCTCTTCAATTTCGGTCAATTTATGGTTATTAGCATGAGATTCGACGCGGTTTTGAACCCCTTGTAGGCGGCGACGGAGAGTTAAACGCGGTACATTAAAAGTATAAGCAACGCGAGCAATATTGCTGATTTCTTGATTCTTAATAGCCTGAATAGCTAGTAAGATTCTACCCTCTTGCTCAATTGAATTTTGAGAAGATTGAGTGCGAATTGGTGGCATGGTAGGTGGTTGAATTAGTTAAGTGCTAATTACTTGACGCGTTTTTGCATCTAATTTATCTCCGATTCACTTCGGAGCATACGCAGTATCCTAGTTATTAAGAAAATGGCGATTAAAAATTAGACATGTTTTGTTGGGTACGGGATTTTGTATCTTTACGGCGTACGTTTACTACCAAAGACGCCACCACAGGACCGTGGACGAATCTAATTAGTTCGATAATGCTAGTGTACAATGATCGGGAGGGGTAGCAATTAATTCAGGGGTTAAGACGCTACCTAGCTATCATCTCACGTTTTTTTACACCATTTCACCCTAAAGTTAGCATTAGACATTCGTCAAATTTCATGCAATTCATAATATCACGATATATATATCGTAGTAGTCAACTATGGCAGCCCAATTTTTTCACCAACCTTCGACAGACCCAGTCTTCGTGTGTAAGACATACGAGTACGTTATTAGACCGAGAGAGGCCTTACGACATCTACAATCGGCGAACCATCGACTTCCACTACGTACGGCACGTCAAATTGCGCATATTGTTCAAACCTCCGACCGGGCGCATAAATACGACGTATACAAGAGAATATTGTGATCTAATCCTGGCAGAATGGCGCCAGGAGAGCAATGGCACCGATACCGATCATGACTGCGATGATTGTACTTTGGGGCCTATGAAGTTGCAGCTTGAGTCTCCCTTGGGATATGACGAAGACTGGGCTTCGGAATTTGCCTCAATGACCTCGAGCTGCGGCGTCACAGGTTACGAATATACATCGCCTGCGGCATATGCATCAAGCACTTCTATCGCTACCACCACCACAGGGTCTACGATTGCCAGTACAACTGCCACTAGCGGAACTGCTACAGAGAGTTGTTCATCCACATATACGGTGCAGTTGAATGATACCTGTAATTCGATTGCGGCCAGTCAGAACATCTTGACCTATAACTTGATGCTTGCCAACTCTATCACCATCCTTTGCTCTAACTTACCTGAGGAGGGTGAAGAGGTTTATATTCCAGCTCTTTGCAGCACTACAACTCTGCAGCATGGAGACTCCTGTGACGATTACGAATCTTCCTGGGGCGTTAGCTTGGCCAAAATTCTTGCGTGGAACCCCATTATCTCTTCTTCATGTGATAATCTCGATCTGTTTGTGGGTTGGAGTCTTTGTACTGGGTAAGATGCACCATTTTAGCTTTTAAATTTTTTCTCTGACTTTCTGAACTTCACTGACATATATTTTGTTTCAAATAGACCTACAGATGACTGGGCTCCAGCCACAACGGCCGCGGTGACCACAACCATAGGAACGGCTGTAGCCATGCCCACGAATGGCATGTCATCTTCGAATCAAAATTGCGCCAAGTGGTATACGGTAAGGACATCAATTTCGCAGCCTACACAATGAGTTTATGGAGCTGACAAGGATTCCTAGATTGGGACAGATGACGACTGTGCAACAGTCTCCCTCGCCGAAGGAATTAGCACCGACGAATTCCTCTTTCTCAACCCAGAGGTTTGGTCAAATTGTACTAATCTCTGGGTCAACTACGCTTACTGCGTGGAAGCGGTAGGCGACGTCAGTACTTACTCTGGATGGACAGAAACTGCGACAACAACCGTCTTCACCAAGCCCACAACCACAACATGGACTGTTGGTCCTACATATACATTGGCCCATGCACCGGGAACCGAAACTGATTGTGAAGTATACCGCGAGCCATACAATGCAACAGTCAATCCGATGAAGTCTTTGGGTATAAGTACAGACTACATGTTGAACATGACCACTGATTTCAGCGCATGCTCGTACTATGCCGACCAATTTCAGGTCACCGTTGACGAGATAGTGACCTGGAATCCAAGCCTTGATGCAGAGAATTGCACACTCGAGGCGGCATACAGCTACTGTGTATTGATATCGTATGATTGTACGTCACGCTGAAAATTTGGGCATCCGTATCATTAGTGTTGAACTAACTATTTTTTCTTCTGTAGACATCTCGAGCAGGAACAGCAATGAAACAGAAGATGCTAGCAACTGTCTTTCCGTGAACTCAACGTGGATTATGGATGGCACCGCGACCAACTGTGAATGCTATACTATAATTTATGGGAAGCAGGCAGATGGTAAGTCTTCAACGCTCTCCATTTTAGGGTTGACAAAACACTCATGACTTGCTAGGCTTGGATTGTGATATGCTGGTTGAGACAGACTCCTCTGACCCCTTCACTCTCGACGAAGCCAAACTCGTTCTTCTCAACCCTTGGATTGGTACAGGCGACTGTACAACCGGTCTTTTCTCAAACCTGACAGGTGAAGAGGTCCGGGCGGTCTGTCTCGCCACTGAGCTCTCTACTCCCAGCACAGCGGTAGCCACCAGTACGCCGACTGACTCTGGAACAAGCACAAACACTCTGACGACAACAACATCCGCCTCAAGCCCAACGGTCGCTGCGCAACCAGGCATCATTGATACATGTGATGAGTGGCATGAGGTTGTGAGTGGAGATACGTGCCAGAGCATTGCAGACGACGCTGGAATTTCCTTGGATACTTTCTATGAATGGAACCCCGAGGTTGGAAGTGATTGTTCTTCAATGTGGCTGGGGTATGGGGTTTGTGTGGGAGTGTCTTCTTAGACACTGGTGCTTCAACTGCAATGTAGCGGTCAATTTTACAATTTAAGCCTGACTGCTATATACTCTTATTCCAGAGAAATCTTGCATGTAGTAGCCTTGGCGGACGGTGAAGTCAAGTTGGGGTGGAGACGATGGTGAATGTGGTGGAACGTATCTAGTACGCTGTACAATACAATACAGAATGAGTGAGGACAGTCAAGAAAGGTCACATGATGTGGAGTTTTGAATAGTGGGCCGCAGGAGCAAGCCAAGACGGGTCGGTATTACTAGCTCAAGGTACACATGACGGATCAATACATGTACCCGCCGGCGCAGATGTCCCTTGTAACCCTTTCTTTCCCCCCAACACAGTCCTTTTTATTTTCCTCCACAAGAACAAATCACCTCAAAATTCCACATGGTTCTTCATTGTTTCTCTGGTCCGAGTTATTTGTCAATCTTGCTTCATCAAAACATTCGCCGCTGCACACTCCCCCAATCGCCAACACTGCGAAATCTGGTATCAAAGAGGTTGTGGACATCAATAAACAACGTCCCGGGACAGAGTCGATATATGCAAATGGTCTCCAAAATGGAAAATAGGCAGAATTATCGTCGGCTGCAACTCGGCGTTGGGAATGATCTTGAGACTGGATTTCAAACCCTCTCGTTTCTCATAAAAAATCCGGAAATAGCTGGATATCTTCGCCATTTGGAAGTCCATGGAAGCCGAAGTGTATCGGATGGCCTGGATGTTGATTTCAATACCCCGCCTGATGAGCCTCGGGAGCTAGAGCTGGATGATCTTGAGAGATTGAAGGCTGCCATCGAGAGAGCTGGGTTCACAGAAGGAAATGAGCCACAAATCGTGCTGCACATGCTGCTACAACGTCACGTGAGAAATTTGTGCGTGAAAAAATCTTCCCTTTCTCTAGTTCCCTGATGAATAGATGGCTAACAAACTGAGTAGATTGAACACCTCTCACTTTTGTCATATGGCCTTCAAACAGGCCCTTGCAGCGCTGCTGATCGCTATTTCGCCCCAGCTAGAGTCCCTTGCTTTATTCCATGTTGGAGAACCTAGTTCCGAGGCTGAAGATCTCGCTCTCCTCACGATGCTTCGCCGTGCAAACAAAAATCCCGATTCGATTCCTTATCTACAGCACCTCAGACAGATCATTTTCCTTCCTGACGACTGTTCAAGGGGTAATGATGGCTTTTATTACAATATCGCTGAGGATTATCATCATCGACTGAACCTGGTGCGACGACTCCCAGCGCTGAAGTCCGTGTCCTTCTCTTTAGCCTCATGGAACAATGAGGCTGGCTTGCCTCCTCTGCCAAAATCGGCAAATTACAGCGAGATCAGTTTTAGCCACTCAAATTTGGCAGGAAATGAGTCTGAGATGTGCTACATCATTGATTCCTCTAAGGCGCTGCGCAAGTTCACATACACCATCGGTGGGCGTGCGCAGCCAGAGGGAGGAAAGGTATGTGTGACTCTTACATCCATTGTCAGATGCCTTTGGAGACACCGTCATCATCTACAGGAGCTTGATCTTGATGTTGAAGATAATGTCTCTTGGGCTGAAATATATGGCAATGAGGGTTTAGAGTCTACTGAGGGGATTGAAAGGGACGAAGATACAGAGTATGAAGAATTATGGGAAGGAGAGATGGAAGAGCTCGATATGAATATTGAAACGCCACCAGCAAACATCTCCCTGGCGGATTTCCCAAATCTGAAAAGTCTGGGCCTCGGTGTTCATACACTCTGTTTTCTGGCAAGGGGAATAGGTCCAGATCGGCTCGATGCTAAGTCGTTCTCTCTTGTGCATACCTTGCCAGCCTCGTTGCAAAGCATACGGCTTTATGGGAAGGGAGAAGACGGTGATCCAACCTTGGACCTGGGAAATCATCAACCTGACCTGGATGTCGATACTCTTCTGGAAAAGCTGGTGGCTGAGAAGGATGCGAGACTGCCGATGCTGAAAACAATCGAAGGCTTTGACCCTGTCATTCCACGAGGAAAAGAGGTCCCAGAATGCGCAGATGAGGATCATCCACTTCTTTGGGAGCAGCCTAAAGGATGGTTAGTTGACTAATCTAATGTATGCTAGCTTTCTACAGTACTAAAGATATTGTCCATGAGAAAGAGCTAGACTTTATTGTATTCTGGCGATTATCGTTCATTGATAACGGGGTTTGTCCAGACTTGCTTGATCCCTGAGGTTATTGTACCTTACCTGCTCAATGCATAGTAAACTTAAAAATATTGTTTTCATGTAGAAGGCAATGGGTGCTTTGAACTTTCGTAGTCCTGAATGATCTAGGCCCTCTACACGTGAGAGCATTGAGGATCTAGAACTTTTCCCCCATGTACAGATCATATAAACAGGCATTCTATAGAAACGCCCGGACTCAGTATCTCTATCCCACGGGGGGTGGCCCAGTCTGGCAGACTGGGAATTAGGGTTCCCGCTTCACTATGGGACATAAAAAGTGGGTCCCGTCAGACTGGGATTTAATTTCCTCGTCAGACTGGAGAGGTCTAATGACCTCCGATCGCTCTCAAATTTTGGCAAGTTATAATAGACTATCTAATTTATCTCCGATTCACTTCGGAGCATACGAAGCCTCCTAGTTATCGAGAAAATGGCGATTGAAAATCGGAGATGTTTTCCTGGGGTGTAGGATTTTGTACCTTTTTGGGTGGTTACAGTACTAAAGGTTCGACGTTTACTATACGACCACGGGCTATATATTGCTTCGATTAGTCTATAAGTCAGACACGGTCTATTTAACTATAATACCTAGGAATTGTGAAAGTTTGACCACGATTAGACTAATAATGGTGGTGTGGTGGATGATTAAATATAGGTGAAAGGTTTGCATGCGTTGCGACCGACGGGATTTATTACCGTAATTAGATACCCACCCTTATCTATGGCAGCCCTTACTAAATAGATTACCCCGTATTTGTATCTTACACCCCGTATTTTACTCTCAGCGGCTTAGTGAACAGCGGCCACGTGACTAGAAGGGTTTCACCTAGTACGTCGGGCGCCTTAACTAGCTAGTCCTATATACTACAAATTCAATAAGGGGTCTATTCGATAGAGACAAGTCAGCTAATTTCAAATATACTATTTATAAACTAGTAGGTTATTAGTACGCGAGTTATTAGCGGTTAAACCTTATATTTCTAGTAAAAGGTAGTATACTAGTATATTACGGTCTATTCTAACGTGATTCACTAGTGAGTTGGCCACACCCCCGAGTTGGCCACCCCACCCAACCTATCAATTTTAAATGCATTTATCTCAACCAAAACGCCATTAAATTCAATAAGCTGAAAACGAGTTCTATTAGGACATGTAGTCAATTTATGACCCTGAATTCCACCTATACTGCACTTCGGTAAGGCTCTCTTACGTGGCTGTGAAGGTGTCGGAGCCGATTCTGCCTCACGGGGTATTTGTGCTAAAACTGCTTGCTCTGGCTGCGCTGCTAAGGTAGAGGCCTCTAAAACTGTAAGGCCTTCTTCGGAAGCTATTTGCTTTTTAGACCGAGTCCTTTTTCGCTTCTTCGTCTCGTTTGCGGCGCGCAATTCGCTTACTTCTTTCTCGAGTAAAGCTGTTGAATACATCGTAGTTTGACAAGCCTTTAAAACCTGATTTATCGCGGAGTTAAGCGGGCTAGGTGGGCTTTGTGAGCGCGTTTTTAGCAAAGCTTTAATTGAGGAAGCTTGCTTTTGTAATTGGACGTAGTTCGAAGGCGTTTTTGGATCCCACTCACT